CTTTATCTAATGTTACTCTTGCTAATTTGTGTATTCCTATTGGCAGTAATCATAGAATACTTTTTTATATAGATTTTTTGTTTTAATTACTGCTAATGCTTTGTATTTAGATCTTTTAATATATTTTACTTGGGCTTCTTTAATACTTTTGCACATGTAATTTACTTCTTCTATATTAATATTAGTTGGCAAATCTCATATTGTTAGTGATAATCCTATTTTTAACTCATTTCCTATTAGATAAGTTTCTTCATTATTTTTTTTTTCTGTCTGTTAGAATCTTTAGATCTCTTCTCTTCTTTTTTCTTATCTTTATATACTTGTTAACTTTGTTTTCTTTCTTGGTTTTCTTGTTCTTTTAGAATAATTTTGAGTTATTCACCTTTTTTTTAATTCTTTCTATTACTGCATCTCTGCTAAATTCACAGTTGAAGTTCACTTCTATCCAACTATTATCATTTTTGAATACCTCTTGAATTGATTTAATGTAGTAATTTTCTTGAAAAATCTATTGAGTATATTTTACTATTACTTCTTTGTTCTCTTCTAGTACTAAATATGTTGGTATGTTTGTTTTAAATAATCTGCTTTTGTCATATATACAATTTCTTAGTAACTACTAACTTTGCTCTATTATGTCTGTTATTTTTGAAGTTTCTTGACTCTCTTCTTCTGCTTTTAGTTTAGCAATTTTTCTGTTCATTTCTTTAATGTCTTCTTTAAGTTTATATATTCTATTGTCAATTAGAAATCTTGGTCTTCTTCATTTATTTCTTTCTAGTTGTTGTTTTCACTTCTTGATATGCTTTGTAGTTTTTTTTTAGTTATATTTTGAGAATTTCTAGAACTTGGTCATTGTGTAATTGAAATGCTTAGTTCTTTCATTTGTTTTATAACTTCTTATAAATTTTGGTTTATTTCTTTCTTTTCATTATTGCCTTCTTAATTTTTCTTCTTTATAGGCAATGTTACTTTTGTTTTTTTGGTTTTATTTATCTTTTTTGTTTTTTCTGGTTTAGTTTTTTTTTTAAATATTTCTTTCTCATTTGTATTTTTTTAGTAATCAAATAGCTCTGAATTTATATCTATTGCTGCTAATTTCATTGCCTATTCTTCTACAATACTATGTGATACTATGTATACTGCTGCTATTTTAAGTGCTTCTAAAATTTAACTATACCAAAGTAGGTTGTTTGGTATTATATTTTTTGAATCATAGATTATTCAATTTCTTGCTATACACTCTAAATTGTTTGGATTATTTATTAGCTTTGATTAGATTGAATCTAGTACTTTGTTATTTATATATCTTCTATTTTTATTACTAAATCTTTTAATATATTGTATCAGGCTTATGCTACATAGTAGCTCCAATCTTGTTTGTACTTCTATTTCTAGACTTTTCTGATATTTATTTATTTGTTTGCTACACATGCTATATTTACTTATTGTTTTCTAATTGGGTTGATTATTATTAATTCTTGTTGTTTGGTATAATGTAACATGTTGCTTTGGTTTTGTTTATCTTGTATACTGGTTATATGCTTCTGATTTGTTTTTTTGGGTTTAGCATTGTTTTTTAATTTCCTTAAAAATTTTTAACAAAAAACTTTAAAAGTCAGCTACAATTTTATTTAACAAGATTTTGCTTATATTGTTGTTAAGACAAAGTAGTTGTATTTTGTCTGCTACATCTTTTTTCTTAGAAGTCAAAGCAGAGTTTGTTAGGTTATTTTTATGTTTTTCTATATATTTGCTTTTAGTCTTATTTAGAAATTTAAGATCAGTAAAAAGAGTTTTCATTCCTTATTTTATTATATTTATAAATAGTAATATTTTTATTAATAAAAAGTTAATAATTAAATTTTTTTCTAGATATGAGCTTTATTTAATTAATATATTACATTATTTTTGTTTGTTTTAATAACAATATAACAAAAAAACAAAAAATTTTTATATATAAAAATAATTTTTTTATCTAATAATTTTTAATTATTACTATCTAATATAACTATTCTAGACTCTAATTATATTATAGATTTATTTTAGTATTAAAAAATTAATCTTAATAAATTTTAATATTGATGACTTACTAAATTATTAAACTTTTTTTTAAAGATTTTTTTTACTTAAAATTTAATTAAAAAGACTTCTAAGCTAATAATTACTTTTATATTATAGATATTTAATTAGGTTAAAATCAAATAACTGGAGACCAATCAAAAAACTTTACTTTATTTTTTTAAGTTAATGTTTTGTCAAGATTGTTATATAATAAGATATTTTATTTTGTTAAAAAATTATTTTACTAACTTTAAATTTATAATTCTTAATTATTTATATTAAATATTTATTAATTTTATAATAGTTGTCAGTATTATAAAAAATAAAATAACTTTAATTATAATTGAATTACCTTCAAATTTATAGGAGATTTAACATGAAACTGATTTAACAAAAAAGCTTAAATTATAATTTATCAGACCAAATTATCTTATATTAATTTTTAATAATTTAATTTTTTATTTTTTTGTAAAAGAGAATTGTACTTTTTAATAACTATTATTTAGATAAGATTTTTTATACCTAATACTAAACTATAGTTTTAAAGCATCCAATAAATAATAAATACTAAATTTTAATATTTTTATTATTTTAAGATAGATTTTTATTTTTAATAGTAATAGAATTATAACAGAAAGTAATAAGATTTATTATTTTTTTAAATTAATTTATTTAACAAAATTAAATAACCAACTCTTTTTAGATTTTTAAATAAGTTATTTGCTAATTATCTTTTTTTAATTTATAAGATTATAAAAAAGTTAATATTATAAACCTAATTTATTGCTTATATAATATACTTTTTTAAAAAGAAAGTAAAATTTAGGCTCATTAGATAAAAGTTGTACAAATCTTTTTTTGATTTAATTATTAATTAATTTTAAAAAATTATACAAAATACAGTATCAATAATGAAATTTATATTCTTATATATATTATGTAACACAACTCACATGATCTGATCTTTATTAAAAATAAACAAAAATAATGCAGCATATGTTTTATAATACATATGCAATGATTTTTGTATTAGTAATAATAATAATTACTAAAATTTTAGAATTAAAAAAAACATTATTCATAAATAAAATAAAAAATTAATGAATATGCTTAGAATTGTGTAAGATAATATGATCTAACTAAAAAATTTTTTGTTATATTACTTATAATTGTTAGTGTATTAAAAAATGAAAATAATTAAATAAATACAAATAAAATAAAATAAAATAATTACATTTATTAAATCATAATCCATGTCTTGAAACCTTATTAGTATTATTATATAAGGTCTTGTTTATTGAAGCAGCAAACTCGTCATTTTATCTGCTTCACAATGCTTTGCTTCAAATAACATTTATTAAATGTTATTTCACATATAACAATTTATCAAATATTAAAATTTTAGGTTTAATTACGCAGATCATATATTCTTAGTTACAATCTTTGTTATATAGTTGAAACTAGATCAGATTCCCTGTTACAACAAGTTACAACAGCTATTCGCTAGTATCTATTTAATTTATATAATTGAGTATTATCCTATTTAATCTTAAATACCAAAAAAAATGCATAAAATAAAGGTTTTACTCTAAAATAAGTAAATGAACGTTGTACATAGATGGCAAGATAAATTAGTTATATCTTGAGCAGTTGGGTATAAGTGGAATTTTGCAGTAAAGCATAACCGGCCGCTTACACGGCCGACCATACTTACTGCAAAATTCCACTTAAATGATCATGACCCATATAATAAATTCATTATAGCTAGGTTTGTTCAGATCAACCCACTACTACTATTTGTACAATCGTTAATAAAAAAAGTTGATCGATGGATCGACTTTCATATGATTGGCTGTTTAAATCAATTTAATTTTACATTATTTATACCGTTTAAAGTACTTTTTTAAAAAAAATAAAACCACGAAGAATAACCAAAAAAAAAACCATATAGAAAATTTTATTAGGGTTGTAGGACTCCATTATTAAAAATAATCAAAATCCTTTTTTGTTTTGGAGAAGTTAGCATTATTTTTAATGGAAGTCCTACAACCTAATAAAACTTTCTATATACTTCTTTTTTGTTTATTCTTCGTAGTTTTGTTTTTTTAAAAAAGTACTTTAAACTTTATAAATAATGTAAAATTAATTGATTTAAACAGCCAATCATACGAAAGTCTTTTCTATGGGCAAAACTATTATGTATTCTTACTTATCTAGGATTTTTGGCAATAAACGATAATGCAATAGGTAATAAGTAATTGTTACGATCATTCTATTTCTAGCGCTCAATCTCAGTTTGATCACTCAATTCCGTTATTATGTGTTCCAACGTAATAAGTAATATAATGCGATAATTACTTAATATTACTTAATATTACTTAATATTAAGTAAAGTGATAAGCCATAGGTCATTATTACTTACAAATTATTGCTCATCCATACCGACAATCAATTCGACAGCCCATTCACTGACAAGTTTTTTTAAAAAATTGACTAACCTTAACTCTAGTTCTAATCTGACTCTAATAATAAGATTATCGGTGAATTGACTGTCATTGAAATGGGTTGTCGGTGAAATAACCCCTCAAGCATAACCACCTAAATCAGTTCCGATTTATACTCAACATTATATGAATTTTCAGGTGATTTTGTTATGAAAATTTTTATTATATTAAACTATATGTATTTAAACTCCGTACGTAACTGATTTGGGTGGTTCGTCTCGGTGAAGCGATTGTCGCACCAGTTACGGTAGGCATCTTAATTGGGAAACCTTTAATTGAAAAATTTTACTTTGGCATTACTGGCAAAACAAATTTCCATTATAGACAAGTAAATTTTTTTATAAATTCTCATCGATATTCTAAAATTTTTAATCAGCCAAATTTTACAATATAAATTTCTATTAAAATAATTCTATAAAGTAACATTCCAAGATGACAGAAGAAACCATCGCGATACCCATTCAGGAAACATCCGGCATAATACTTAATCCGGAGGAGGAACGAATTTTAAATGATCAAATTAGAACGGCTGAAAAAAAGGAATCATATTTTACTTTATATCGGTTCGCTACAAAATTTGATTGGATGATTATGTTTATTGGATTAGCATTTTCAGCGGGTGCAGGTGCTGCCATGGTATGTGCATTATCCTTCTTTTTACGTGTCATTTTTTTTTTCAAATCTCTTACCATTTTTTATGTCCTATTCAATTTTGCAGCCTGTAATTTCCTTAATTTTCGGGAAAATGATCGACTCTTTTACTCGTTTTCAACTTCACATGATGGCCAATGATGAATTTTCTGACCAAATAAATTCCTACACATTAATTTTTGTATACCTTGCAATTTTCATTTTTTTTGCTACGTATATATCTATTTCTACTTGGGCATATACTGGT